GGGTAAAAGACAGAACCCTCAAAAGGTTCTGTCGAATTTTTTATCCGTTTTTTGAGACTTTGGACACATTTGGATGCTTTTAGAAATCTACAGAACCTTTTTGAGGGGTTCTGCAAACCTCATTTTTTTTTTTAGAGTAGAGATAGTGTTTCGAGATTTTTTTTGTTATTTTCTTCATACGAATAGGGTTACTGTATCAGATTGATCATAAAACCAATTTAGACCCATAAACATCTAATATTGATCTTGTTCAAACTTTGTATTCATTTATGGAAAAATAGTTGGCCTCGTCACCAAAAATGCTTATCTCAACGTAATCTTTGATTTAGTATCAGATTGTAAGGATTCTGGTGAACAAAGTCCCAATGGTCGATTTACGATCAAATACGTCCATCTTCTTTAATCAAATTAGAGTCAGGTTATTACTATGGTCTCTCTCAAACATTTGAAGTAAATTGATTTCATTTTACTTAATGTACCTTATTTTTTGAGTTTGTTACACTACAGAATGGAACAGCATTGTGACCTATAATTCCATTTATGCACGTGTCAGCAACATTGGTGTCAAAATGTTTGAACACTATATTATCAACAATCGATTTGAAAGTGCTTCATGAAATGGCAATTATTAATGATAGTGATGTGCTCTGAAAATTAGAAAATAATATGTTCAATGGTTATTTGACGTCGACAACAAAATTTATTACAGTTAATGTTAAAGATCTCTATACGATGATATCACGACAAGATGCCATAGATGTATGGATACGACTTTTAGAATATTATTCTAATCATAGCAATATTGGATATGGACTTTTTTTTGCATATAACAATAAATTTCATCGATCAATGCATAGTGGAGCCGTGGGTTCAATATTTTCAAGTCTTAGTCAATAATTATATGTCAGTATGGAAACAAGATTCAGTCCAATATGAAACATAACACAAAGAAATTTATAGAAGGTTAGTGGAAATTTTCTCAAATAGACAACTTTTTGTATTTAATTATTTTTCTCTTATCTAGATACAACAATGATATATTTATGACAATCGGTCAAACTATTGATAAAATTACACAAGAATAAAACAAAGTAGAAAATAAAGGTGTTAATATTAAAATTGAACATAAAATCAATGCATTAATTAATTTTCTTGATGTCAATATTACATATGAAAGCGTTCCATTTAAGACATATATTGATCATAAACCAAACACTGAATTATATATTTCACCTTATACATCTGATCATTGATGTAATTTCTATCTTTCTTATGCTACATGCAACATTATTACGTGTAGTTCGTATATGTTCACATATCAATGATTTTAAATTAAGAGCGCATCTATATTGACATGTCATTATTATTAGAGCAACATTCACCACATTTTGCTACGAGACATTTCAATCATTTCTTTCGATTAAACAAAACTATGCCTCTATTGAGAAAAGCAAGCTGAATAAGCTGGTGTGCTGGAAAAATGTCGAAAAAAGTAATGTCTTCAGTAGATGGTGACTCTAATCACGTCTACCTCATCGTTGCTTTCCTTATAATTCTACTAGTATAGAACTTCAACCAGTAGTAGTTGTGATGACTAATATCTAATCTAAATTTAATACAAATGTTTGGTCATTCATAAAATTTTTACAAGGAGAAGAAAATCGTTTTCATCATATGTATGCCCAGTTTACTGCAGGTTTAGGCATTAGACCAAAACAAGCTAAAACAATTGCTATTCGACGTCGTATAGATAATCTTGGCCAACGATATTATGATGGTGCTATAAGCGTTATGGAATACTTGGACGGTTTATCATTTACAGTTGCTAGACAGAAAAAATGACAAATCGATATTTTTCATTATCTATATTTGATCTCTGTTGGAACATTAACATTAACTCATATAATAAAATATGTTCTTTATTATTCACAACTCTATGAAACATCTATCACCCAATTTTCATATCGATATTATTTTTTCGATATTTTTCCACTTCGATATTTTTCTTTTCGACATTTTTACGGCTAACCAATAAGCTTATCAACAATTACATAAAAAACTACCCGTGGACTAAAAAAATAAAAAAGATGACATTAAAATAATGAAACGGGCAAAAACATTGATATATTTCAAATCCGTTGATTAAAATGTACATATTCATGAATTTCATTGCATGATTTTAATTAAAAATAAAATTCACTCTGTTTACTTGATGAAAGCGTCGCTTTCCATCAATGAATTTGAAAGATATCATTGTTTTGTCTGTTTCATCATCAAAAATGGCATTGTTTTCGTGTCTTTCGCATAAAATTCACGCAAGTCATCCCATTTTCTTGATCTTTTTATTCCATGAGTATCTCATCAACCTACACGGCGTGAAAAAGAACTCTAAATGATGATGTAAAATCCAGTCAAAGTTCCTTATGCCTTATAAATCAAGACATGGAATCAAATAGTACTGTGTCCGCCTTATATTTTTGACAGTGAACTATCTATTAATTCACCAAAACAATTCTACAGATGGTGAACAATATATTATGAATACCTAGATTTACCAATATATAATGTTCAAGTTCGATTAATACCGAAAATAAATCGCTCACTTGAGCACTTTTGAATTTACATGAGACATGCACAAGATATGCTAACAAGAATGGAACAATCAACAAACTCAAAAACTGTTGCATTGATTTTCTAATCGCTCCTATTCCGAAAAATAGATTTTCTTTTCAAACATTCTCACTCACATTATATCTCATTTTTTTGCCACAAAATCAGGTGTTTCTCTACTTTTATGCCATCTTATTCTATCACTTATCTATTCATTTATTCTAGATAAATCATTACAACATTCCTTTACTTAACTAACATGCAAAAGCTACCGTGCAGAACATATTGTGCCAATCGAAAAGAAAGTAATTTATTTCTGATTCACATTATATCAGAAAATTATTATAAATTCTAGATTTACAATCTGAATATGTGCGAAACATGTCGTATGATGGCTTAAATCATTTCTCCTTTGTAATCGAACACATCCTTTATGTGTACTGGATATTTGAAAATTGAATCACTTTTTTGAACAGTAATATAGGGACCAAATTGCATACAGGCTAAAATTTGTAACGTCCATCGTAATATGCAATGTATATTTACCTTTATGTAAGTCTCGACAAATAGTGATTCGAAGGGTCATCCGATAAGCACCGATATGTGTAACATTTTTATCAACACGGTATCTGAATTAAAATTTATAATGGAAATATTTGTTTTTTGTTTCTTACCTACTATGGTCCTTATTTGTTTTCTAAGTTTTCATTTATACTCGTATTAGGCATTTACTCTGCAAACCAATTGAGCTAGGTTAGAAAAAGCTTGGCAGCGAATCCAATCAAGAAATATTCGAATTCTGGTTCAAGATATTCTATGTAAATCAAATGTTGTATCTTCTGACAGAAAGCTTAGAATTATTTATTTTTTCAGGTGCGATATTTGAAAAAAAGAAATATCGGATCACTCTTTGTCGCGCTCTTTTACTCATCATTAGATAAAACGAAACATGAAATCCTCTTTTCGTACGCACACTATGCAGTGATATCGCCCATGATGAAATTAATAACACGTATGAAGTCAATATTTTGCAGCACTCCACTTCTTTAATAGCTTGGAAAACAATCATCTCGATAAATGTACATAACTTTTCAGTATTTTCATATGAAGTATTTATTAAGAATGCTAAAGAAAGTATAAATTACGATTAAATGTAAAAAAAAACTCTTAAAAGGCAAAAAGCAAGATATTCACTGTAGCAAAATATAGAGAGAAAAAGTTGAACGAAGTAATTATGAACAAGGAAACTAACAACTAATAAAAACTTCACCATTGATTAGTAATCTTATGTAAATTTGCTGTTCTAGACTAAAACTTCATTTTGTAAAAGTTTTGCGTTATATAAAAGTAATCAAAGCTTCATTAAAGTTTGTGTTAGATAAGATTTTCCAGTACTCAAAAGAAAATTTCAAAAGTTAAGACAACACAAACACTCTTCAAGATTTGATTGCATTCATACAACATCAGAAGTTTTTCAAGAGAAGAAGTTCAGCAAGGATATATGAAGAAATTAAACGAGAGCATATAATGTTTAAGTCATTTGGTCAACATCTTGTGCAACCTTTAACCTGTTGTTGTTGCCGGATCCTTGCAACAACAACCAAAACCAGGAGCAGTGGTACAATTACGAAAATTACCACCACCACTAGGACAATTATCACGACTTAAAATAATAGTACAATTGCTACCAGCACGACCAGTATCAGCACCAACACAAAAATCAGCACAAGTACGAAGAGTAGAATCACCATTATTATGACGAACCATACAACTATCACAACTTGGAATTGCTGTAATTATTGTCGCAGAAATAAATAAAAAAAATATAATGAATGGTATTGAATTAAAAATCTTTTCTAATACATAATAGTCTCATAGAGTGTTAATAAATCGGTATCAATCCACTCTTGAGTTTTTACATAGAAAACCGGTAGTATTTTCCATATGTAATCTAGGCTAGGTTTAGTATTTGAAAATATATAGTTTGAACATATTGATCTATCAACTCAAATCAATGGTAATGTGCCGTACTGTGTGATGCTCACATCTAAATGGTGAATATCCAGGTGAACTTGGTTGTTCCCAGTTTACAATTACCCAGTTATAGACTTGCGAGCAAGTAAAAGAAGAGATATATTCTTTGTTTAATTGTTTTATAGTTAGGCTTTTTTGCCTATGCCTATCACTCTTGATTGAATATGTTGTAGTTTAAATGCATTTTCTCTCTAGCACGAATATCTCATGAGAAAGTTGCATGTTTTGTATGATCGAGCAGCAAGTTCGCTCAACAAACATTGGATTGAAGTACATCCTCTGGATAACTGTGGTTCTGTTATTTAACACTTTGGTTCTTTCTTTTGTTATAGTGCAGAGAAAAATGTCACTGAAGCATGTGGGATGTAGAAGTAAGTAGAAGTGATAGAACAGAAAATGTACACTAAAACCTGGATCCAACTCTCACATTCTGA